AGATTTGAAATATTTTTTCCAAATGAGAATTTAGAAGTTGGATCGGAAGAGCCATACAGTAATGCTCAACCCCTTTCTTAATAGGGTCGTGATCGTATTCTAAAGTTGCTTGAGGAAATCACAATCGAGCTGCCTTTGCGGAACGATTTTTCACTGGTCACCCAAAAAACTGAACGCAGTGGACGGCAGCTGTTTAAAATCGGTCATGGAGCTGGTTAATTCTCATACAGAAGCTAGCCGCAACATCAGATGCCTCAATAACTCCCGAGCGGGTTGGATGGAACAAAAAATACTTTTCATCAACGAGAGCACAGTTGAAGGATAGGAGTGAACTTAAAACTCAGCCCTCTAAAAGTCAACCACCCCTGGAAAAATCTCAAGGGGACTGGGCGGGAACTACACTTTTCATCCACTGAAAAAGGCACAAGGTCACACTCATCTAATACTTAGCCGAGAAATATAACGAAGCCGGTGGACATGTCACATGGTAGCGCACCCCTGAAATCTGAAACGCACATCAACAGTAGTCCTATCATTCGAATAACATAGTCGTCCGGCTTTAAAACCCCTTCAGGGCCCAGCTGCCACGCCACCCGAATGAAGCACGAGGACCGGGGTGCTGCTAGGTTGCCCGAGCCTGGACAGGAGCAATCGGGATGCAAAGGTTGGATGTTCCCTCCAGTAAGTTCGGGCCTTGATCACTGAGCTATTCCGAGCACCTCTGACTTGCTTGCGCGATGTAGGTCGTGGCATACAGTAGTGAAAACGAATGATTACATGGTGACAGCTGAATGAACAAGGTTGAAAATGTCTTCCCAAGAGTGCATTACAAATACAAACGACCGACACAAAGATGCAAGGTCTTACTCAACTCGTACACCCAGCGAACTGGTACAGTGAGACCTTGGCGAGTATTTTGTGATCATCAGGCTAGCATGTCACTGGTATCAATAAGACAGTGTCAGGGTCCATAATCAGGGGATGAATTTGTAGTCGTGGACAGGCCACACTTGCTTCATCCTCCGATCCACACATGCGCGTCTCTTACCCAAACGCTGGTAGGTGTCTGGACTGACTTCAGTGTTCTAACCTATTAGAAATGATCCCGCGGATTACTTTTTTGTGGCTTTTCTAGGCGTATTGATTGTTACGAGACCAAACGAAAAATGGAACTAATAAATTCACGATCCCAATAGCGTCAGAATTACATCATGTAGTTATTTGTTGATTATTTACTTATTTTCACCGCATCAAGTTTAGTAGCATTCAGCGGACTCCGCAGTCCGGATCTTACCAGTGGTTTTCACTGGTGATATGTCAGATCGAGATTCGCGACAGTCCAACTGCTTGCTCCCCTCAGCCGCGTCAATTCAATGAGTGGATGTTTTCGTTCGGTCCATAAACGGGACGATCAGAAAAATGTTGACCGATTTCTTAGTGTACGTGAGGACCTATATTGCAAAAAGATTTGAAGAACAAAATGCCTCTCGTGTGTATCTAGTACTTGGGAGTTTCCCAAGAAAAACAAGGTTCTGATGGAAAATTTGCGGATATCAGTTGGTAGCGGCAAACATTCTGAGCAAATCACAATGTGGAGGTCTGTGGTAATCAGCAGAATTAGGGTGGGTGAATGTCCTCCATTAAGCACTGCTGACTGCATTCTGGAGGGTTTTGTTCATTAAAGACAGCCAAGAGTAGAATGGTTCCGCCAAAACTACTTACTCCCAAGAGGTAACTGTACACCAAGGGGGCACTCACTGGGAATACTGCTGTACTCATATGGCTGCAGGAGCTCAGTAAACTTTGAAGAGATATTATTGGGAACACATTACAAGAAAATACCAGTAAATAAGCGTGGTCGAGGAGTAACAGTCAGCAGTACGGCGGTGTAATAAATGGTAGATCTTGGCAAATAGATGTACAAAATGAATGCACGTCATTTTGTGGCTCTCTTTTGTGGTACTGATTAGTTCTAAGGGTTAGGGCGGTTATGGGGATCGGGATGGTGCATTAATTGCTTTTCCATTACAACTGTTTAAAAGTGGTGTTTACGGGCTCCATAAAACTGACGGATAATACTACAAATACATACGTCAATTTCAGTATAATAGAGTACAAAAGGAATATTGTTATTTGTGATCCAAACTAGGAGCTGCAAACTCTGGCTGGTTAGAATCAAGGACTTCCACGGACGAAGAGTAGCATGTATATATTTACAGAAAGATCGATAAGGAACCGGTACTCACCATGTCTTGAACAAGGCTAACAGTGGTTCCAGAAGCGAGGCGAGTAGCTGCTGACGAATCCAGTCCATGGGTCCCGTGGATGTGGTCTTTTGCCAGCTCACTCCTGTAATCCGATGTTGGAGCGCCACTTACAAGCAAAGTGAGTGGAGTTTTTGAATTTAGCAGAGACGAACACTCGCTTAACATTGAGCTAGACAAAACACCCAAAGAATTTGTCGTAACTGTGCTGGGTTTCACAGCACCCAGAGACATTGCAGTAGAAACCGGAGTAGCATCTGTCCCCACACATTGGTCCGGACGAACAAGTGTATACAGTCCGCCCAAAGAACTGCGAACGTCAAAATTTGGTACTGTATCCGTGGTAACCGACCGTAGCGGTGTTTCAGACGAGGGGGCAGAGACCAGTGAAGTGAGTAAACCTTCGTTACAAGAACTGGCTGACTGGATGGAAGGAGGACTTGGGTCAGAAAAAGCGTAACAAACAGCCATATGAGTACGGTCAAGATCCGCCGTGCCTTGAGAATACGGAGAAAGGATGCTGCTCCGGTGAAAAGATCCCAGGAAGCCGGGACTACTACCATAGTCCGTATTGCTTGTTTGAGAAACTCGGCGTTCTGCACAGGCTTCCTTTAGACTTGTTGCGATTGACAGGATAGTAGGCAGACCAGAAACAGGCGGATTATTATCCGGTGTGGTTCCACATTCTTGCGATGTCATCAGCTGTCGAGAGGCTGACCAGGTGAACATTGGCTCCGATGAAAGACTATGGAAGAATGGATAGGACCACATTAGAGATGACACGGCGAAATCTAGATTGACAAATTTTTTCACACTACCATTGTATGCTAGAACGATACTCGGCAAAGCACGTTTATCTGGATAAGGTAGGTAAGAGTAAGGTGTCTAAAGGGGATCATTAATAATATAGAAGACACTACACAATACAAAGGATGACATAAGCACCCTATTTATTCAACTTTATCGGAACCCAAACTAGAATTAACCGTTGAACTTAGACCGAGCGTGGCAAAATCAGTGTGTAGAAATGCGTAAAATGGTCCACTGGTCCAAATACGTATGGATGAGTCTTATGAACCGAAAGATCCCATTAATGTCGACTAGATCGGATAAAAATCAACCACCAAATTGATGACGGCGCCTCTCCAGGACTGACAACTTCTTCTGTCACACAAGTGTTGGCAGGTATTATCCGGCGGCGGTGAGGGTGCAGTTAAACGGTGCAAACAAGGATCATCCAACAAACCCAACAGCATCCCTCAAATAACACTGAGGAAAATCGACAGGGAGCTGGTTCCAACGTAACTCAGTTCGAAACCAAGAAGTCTCAACAACCGCTAGTATTTAGCCAAAAAGTAAGCAGTGAGATACATATAGTCGAATCCGGAAAGCCTGGGAATTTGGGGAATGGGAGGTCACCCATTAAGAAGGATATCGGGCTGAAAAGAGTTGAACAAAACAACGAGAATACAGCACTTCTATCTACAAGGAACAATGCATCTGTTCGCCATGAAGCCACTTTTACAGTCCTCTGAAGCTGGCCTTCCTTAACTTCCCAAGCGGACTGTGATGTATATTAACTACACCTGGCTGAAATTCGACGACTTGTTCTAGCAAGAAAGAACTCGTGTGACCCAACCAGTAAATCAGCTCTCTGGCCAAAGAGGAATTTAAGATTCGGGCATGCGTTCTCAGGAGGACGACCAGCAATATAACTTGCGCATACAGAAAGCAGTCGTCACTAACACTCAGAGTGTAATTTCTGTGGCCGAAAAAAACGGAATTCACGGAAATATCGTATGATGGTAGCACCGTTCTGAATTGGTACGAGAACTGATAAGTCAGGATCTTCACTCCTCAAATAGTGTTGATTCTTCTATTATTGTGTACAGCGTAACTCCCCATTTTGCTGTTTTCGGTTTTGTACCTATACCGTCATTCGTGTTTTTGACCTAAACGTGAACCACTGCATGGCATTGTCATCGCTGTCAATGATGATGAATACTAATAATAAAAGAAGGGAACAGTGAAGAAGTTCATCGTAGCCTTCCAAATTTTCAGTATTACGCAGAAAACCTACATGTGCTACCTGGTACTCTGAGGACCGGAGTCAATTCACAACATAACACTAACTTAAAGGTTGACAAAAACACATAAAATAACTTTAGGTTGTTGACACAGCTCAGGAAGGTGCGTGCCTCACTGTACTAACCATTTGGCAGTCCGGGAAGGGATATGCGACATACTGCAATAACTTAATTATTTTCTTGAGGGAACACAATACTCATCCAGTTGACGGACATCGTGGACGAGGAGTCCAGTCAAACTTCCCGTTAAAACCAGATGAGTTTGGAACTGAGCGTATTTCGCACAATTCAAGTACTTGTTCACTTTAAGGGACAAGATCATGTAAAAAAACTAATGGGTGAAACAATGACTTCGCGTTGAGATATGGTAAAACTAATCAGTGGCAGTCACAAACAGTCTGGACTAGCCCAACTAAATTGTCCAACTTTGCGAGCGAACAGAATGGGTCTTATTTAGAGGGTGGCCTTCCTTAGGGTCTTCATGACAGGACTGTATTCTTAAGGTTCGGGTTGAAGTCACCGGGTGATCTACTTGGAGCACCAGCCAGGAATGTGTCTAATTTTAATGTGTATATTAGCATAGGTTGGGATTGTGCAAAGTCGTTTTAAGTCAAGCACAGACCAATCGCTGCTAAAGGGAGCCGGAGGAACAGGCCCAAATACAAAATAAAGAAGTGAGCTATCAAATATCGGCAATGCCCGGTTAGACAGCTTAGGCAGAGTGGTCCCACCCTCGTCTACATAACAGCGTATCAGAGCCCATCAAACGTCCGTAATTAGCCATACAACTCCAATTTACGCACTACCGATTGACAAACACAAATCGCAAGGTTTGCGAGGACCAACTTATGTCTAGACTCATCAATATGAATAGTCATGGTTTTGTTCGAGTTGTCTGGGGAAGAGGGTGATGTAAAGCTTCCCGTAGCAGGATACTTGGAAGACGAATTGTTCAGAAGAATATCTGACTGGTGAAACTCGGTGGCTCCAAAACTTCTACATATCAAAACATCATGGAATTTTAGCGACCTGACTCAACAAAACCCGAAGAAACCTTAGTGCCTCTAAGAACGCTGAGTTTCTGAGTTTCATGCTAGGAATTAAAGTCATTTTAAAACATCTTAAATTCACTTCAAGTCACCTCTGTTTGTCAACAGATAAAACTTAAAGGCGCAGTCATTACTGCTTAGGGCTGCAGATGGCAGCTTATTTGCTAGAACAGGATCATTCACATGGTACTCCCCTCACATGGAGATGAATACAGTTATCCCAAAGTAAACTTCCCATCCTCTATTATTTACAAACAAGTGAAAGCCCCTTGACAAGTATCAACTTCACATGAAGACCCTCGAACGTTAGGCAGGTCGCTACCTAGCAAAACAGAACACGTTCGTTTTCACTAACACATGTCACAAATTCCAAGTAACTTCAGTGAAAGCATATGTTACATGTTGCGTATGGGCGTAATTTTAGAACGGGAATCGGTCGTACTCGATATCAACCAGCCGCATACCAGTACGCCTGAACGAGGTGTTGGGCCTTTCGGTACTGCAGTACATCAGTAGCATGAGACAGTTTATGACGTTCCATCTGGTGCGTTCCATATCCACATGTTGGAACCGATCACAAAAGTGGAGCCGTTTCTACTCTCTTCTATGTCTTCGTTTGGCTTCTGTAGCAATGTACAACCGCAAACTTCTAGCTCATGATCGAAATTATACCGTATCTATTTAGTGAGACACTTAGTATTTGTGGTAGGAGTGATGGATGGCATTCACTTGTGAAGAAATCGGATTGCCGCTGCTTAAAATGTTGATGGAAGTCGTATATTCGTAATCCGAGGAGCAAAACGATCTCCGAAAACAGCTAGAGTGGTCGAGATCTAACAACCCGACAAGTGATCGAACTTGTCATGGATCGATCAACCATCCAAAACTATAAACATTATGCAACAAGTCAAAAAAGATAAGAGTACTCCCGAATAGCTAAGATCTGGATATCAAGAGAACTGTTCGAAAGCTACTACATCAAGAAGGTAACAACCACGATTGCCACAATCCTGTGTCCAAAAACTGCATCCAACTCGGTCAACTATGTGCCAATACCTCTTGGATTGTAGTAGTCCAAATATCACACCATTTCTTCGGTCTCTTCATTCTAAAACGTTTGGGAATAAGGAATTAGGTCGAGAATAGGTTCGACTTCAACACTGGGAACGCCTTCAAAGCCTCTTTGTTGTGACCTTTGGAGACCGGTTAATGTATGGAAGACAAAGGATAATCCTACCTTTGCAGCATCTTATAAATGCATCGCCAAAGCATAGCTAACGCATGATAAACGGTTTTCTGGGGATCGACTGCACACCCAACAGAGTACTGGCGGGTTGATTCAGTTACGGTAGTTACAAAGGTCACGAGATGTGTAGCTGACTAACTCACCAAAAGGTGTTCGCTGGAAAAGTGGCACAGGATGGAAAACGCATGACCTAGTGATGAAGCACGAGAAGCTTTATAATTAGTTTTGCCCGTAGCATTCCTGCGAGGGTGGGACGTCATGGAGCAATACCGACCAATTGTTGAAGGTCCTTACCGATATTCGACACTAACGAGCCATTGTGATCGTCATTCATATCCTATTTTCCCGCAGATATCTCCCTAACCTCACCCTTACCTGTACTTCTATTCATCAAGTGGTCAGGAAGTGGACAAGTATGTCTATCTGGAACAACTCTGAAGTCGTCCACACTGAAGAAAAGCTAGCCACAATTAAGTACATCCGCCGGAGACCAAGTATACGAAACGACGTACATATTTGATCTTCTAAATAGACTCCTCAGTCACTTTTGATATTCACAACTTTCCCAGCGCTCTGTCCAACAGGAATTTGAATTTTTCATCCCTTTAGATACGACCACTTGATGCTGGTAATCGCCCTCGGAGGATCACCACAATTAGCTGGAATACTAGTCGGTGACGTCATGTGACTTACCTGGTCTCTGATACAGCAAGCACGTGCATGCAGACACTCAGATCTCTTGTTTAGTACATCTCATAGTTCCATGTATTGTCACATTGAATTCCGCTTTACTGTGTGCGTGCGTATTTATGCCTTCGAAACGGAAGTGTGGTAGGTATACTCTTTTGAAGATCTTCCTTAATGAACATGTGACATAGCTAGGTAAGCACACTGGAATACAAAGTTGAGTAGTGGCAGTGTTGGTGTTAGGCAAGTGCACATACGCGCGCCTGCGGAATCTAAACATAACCATAAGATGAAAAGCTGGTATGATCACAAAATACGCAAGCATGTGCATTCTCCCTCCCGCTTGTTGCAAAAGGGGAAGTAAAACCTCTAAGAGACAAGAGATTATTAGGTGAATAAAAGAAAGCCCCAGGGAAATATGGCAAGCAAGAGAAGTCACTAGATCGATGAAGCATAAAACTACGAGTTGGAAGCGCAGTAAAACATCGTACACCAGCTAGACTAACAGACATATGGCAGTAGCGCTAAAACAAAAAAGGCGAAGGACTCACATGCCAGATGTGACAGGAGATACGGCTGGTGGCATTGTACTCGTTCGTGGAGACCGACCAAAAGTTCCCCGCGTCACAGGCGGCGACTGCAGGCTAGGATCTGTAGCTCGAGGGGGTGAAGATATGTCAGTATGCCTGCTGGGTGTGTTCCCCCGCATTTCACATTGAGCTGAGGTACCGGGAATTTTGCAGGTTTCCTCTCTGGGAGGTATATGAGTGATCGTGGGTGAATGAGGTACAGCGTAACCAATTGAGTCGGATACGAAGGATTTGGAGGCAGGAGAATCAGTGCTGTTCGTAGTGATCACAACCAACGCACTGTTGTTATTATCATCAATACTTCTGTCAACGCCGGTATTACCTTCGTTGGTGGTTGCTGTCACACCTGGTATCCAACCCTCCTGCTCTGCTTTGAGTTTGTTCAATGTTCTCGAAAAATTGCTGAAGCCAGAAAAGCGTGCAAGCAGGTGACAATAAGAACCGAAATAGAAATTTGCTTCAAAAGTGTTACTCTGGATACATGGTGAACAATTCTAACCATTTGTTTGGAAAAGAAAAGACTCAACAGTAGGGCTGACCAAGCCTGCTGCACCTGATCAAACACACTGCAGTAAGGGGTGTAATACGGAAAACGTGTTAAAGCAAAATGGAGTACACAGCGCTGAACACAAGGAAAAGTTCGTCTGTTCCCAGCACTCATAACAATGGCTCACGGGAAGCAATACTCGAACTAACTTTACTACTCACAATTACACTGAAAACACTCCAAAAATGGACACGCACTGGAAATGCTTCTTGAGGCTGGGTGATTGTTACCGACTTAAAAGAAGATCCTGGCTGAATTTAAGTTTATGACTGAACGCAGAAATATATGAAAGAACTTGATATGTGCCTTACATCTTCACTTTGGGATTTATTATTCGGTTCAATGTACCACTTTCAGAAAACACAGAGCAAATTACATTACATT